GTATAAGCCTTAAGAAGATAAAATGGATCTTTTTCTGCTTCATCAATCAATCTTTTAATATTTTCTTTTTCTGTGTGAGACATTTCACTTTTAATGTATTTCAAACGATAATCAATATTTTTACTTTGCCATCCAAATCCACTATGACGATAAAGATAATCACTTGCAATAGATTCAGCTTTATCATCACACTTCATCCAATTAATATGACCCGATTCATCATCAGAAAACCGAGTTTGGGATTTTCGCAAAAATAGTTGTTTAATTTCATCCTTTTCAGTTTCATCATAAGGTATACATTTGTGTTCGTTTTGTATTGAGCGACTAGCACCTCTGTCTAGCAATAATTTAACTATTTCTGTGTGACCATAATAACAAGCAGCATGAAGTGCCGTAGAACCATTGGCTTGAATTTGATCGACTTCTTCTACAGTCATGATACGTAATTGTTCACGAACTTTATCTATTTGTCCATTACGGCACGCATAATAAAAATCGCTGATCGTGGATGACTTGGGCTTCGAAGTCATGGATTAATTTCTTTACAAGGATAAGAAAAAACATATGACTAAAATAATTCATCAGATTGTGAGATGCGCTTGTAGGTATGAGTGAATGCCTGTTATATGATTGATTGCATTCAACTACCCATTTCTACACTCTAAGTTCTTCAACTGAAGTATACATATTTATTCTGTCCTATTTTTTCGAGACAAAATATAAAGTAACACTTTCCTTTTATCATTATTGATTCGAGTTATCGGAATCGTTCAATTAGCTAATACTTAAACAGTCTTCTCACTAAATTTGATTTTGACATATGTTAGTGAAAACAAAATGAAGAACATTAAATCAAACGTCACACTATTAACAAACACATTTTCTGTTTTTTTTCCGAAAAGAGACAACATGATAGATATTCGTATTTTAGTTAAAAATGTTGGCTGTACAGAATACTTAAAAGTTTGTCTTGAGAAATAAAAATAAAATCTACTTATCCTCCATTCAACAGAAACTATTCCATGAAGTTTTATTACAAATGTAATAAAACTAGAAAAGCTGTTAGTGCAGTTTCTAGTGGGTTTAAAAGTTGAAACAGGATATACTGATCACTAACTGATCTCTGAAAAACTCGCTATTTCATGTATTTCACAATATCCGTCTGCATTATTGTTAAATACATAGCAATCAACATCGAAATACAAGAAGTTAATCAACTTTTCTATCAGATATCATCTATATAAGGTTTTCAATAATTATTAAGACTCATCAGTCGCGCTTTGAACCACCCTGTAAGGTTTCTTCCATGAATTATAACCGGTCCTAGGTCAGTTTGTCGTCATTTCTGCTGATCCGTAGAACATATCTGTAACGATCTCTGATGAGGGAGAGTGAGTCCAAAATTTCCAACCCAATATACTTCAACATTTTTTTCAGATCGTTTTTCATAAAAGCATTTAAGTAAGAACTTTTGAACATGCTGCATAAATCCACGAATAAACAGGGTACGAAATCATTTGTACTGTGAATAAACTGGTTGCGATTGCACGATTTCTCGAGATAAGACTATTTTACGCCAATTATTGATCATGACTACTGCGATCAAGGATGATTACGTTGGACATTAGTTTTATCTGTAAAGCACTTAGCTTGAAAAAATTAAACGAACCAGAAAAAAGTGTAGACTCGAGCGAGACAGTTGGCAAACCTAGTTGTCCAATGTAATCATGAAAAGTCAATTACTATAGTGAATGGATGCAATCAATCGGTATTCATATTTTTATGTTCAAATATAAGAGTAAATGACAAGTAAGCGTATACTGAAGATTCTCAGAGATCTTGCGATCCATAGAGATCATTAGGATGTAATTATTACTTGTTATGGGAACGATTATCTGACTGAAAACGATTTCCAGAACTTATGTTAAAGACTCATTTATCTAATATTATTGAAGTCTAGAAAATGAATATTTTCTCTTTTTTTTTTTGAAAAAAATTTATATATTCAACATATGAATAATATCTTGAAAGTTAAGCACCAATACAAACTTACCTTTTTTATTAAATGTATGTATCAGAAATAAGAATTGTAGATCTAAAACTTTCTATTGAAAAATCTAGAAAAAATGTAAAAAAGAGAATATCGAATTAAAGGTTGTACTTATGAAGAAAAAAATAAACTAGAAATAAAAGCTACTGACAATGTGAATAGAATCGTGTATTCGAATAAAGAAATATTTACCATGTATTTTATGTGTCGGCAAAGCTAAGTGTCACTTCGGGCAATTAAATGACTAGAGAAGTCGAAATCCTTACCACTCAAATGATAGTTTCCAAATCAAAGTATAGTGACAGAAAGTTTGAGAAAATGGTTTAATAGCTTTTGTCTTAAACGACATAGAAGCTCGCAGTTCTCGAGTGATTCAATATAGTTTCTTATCAACATCTATAGCGATTTTTGATTTGAAATGGATGAACTATTATGTCAAGACTGATAATGGTAAAGTGCTCTGAAAGGAGGCTGTTAAACAACGAGATCAATCACCTTGAAATACATATTTCATTTCGTCTATGTCAGATTTTCATAAAAGTGATTTATGATCGAGATTTAATCTTAAGGCATTGTTTTGTGCTAAGACCATATCGCTTCGAAAGGTCAATATCTGTGAGATGCAGTGATTTATATACTTTATGACCGAATGGATGATACTCACCAAAATTTCGATTGTTTCTCTCGAAAAACAAAATCTAAATAAAACATGGTCAGATGTACATCAAATTCGACTGTCTGTAAAACAGAGCCATTTTCAAAAACTACAAAAACTATTGGAAAAATTCTACAAAACATACGAATCGAATGATTTCACAATTTACTGTCTTGATATACTAGAACTTCTGAAGATGAATCTTAATATATACAAATCAAGTTCTAAAAGAGTTAGTAACATGCGCAAAAATGGCTTAAATATTGGTCGTAAAGGTGAACAGCATTATGGAAAAATGATTTCACATACTTCTCATAGTGCTTCATTTTATAAAACTTTTCATCTGGATGAGAATAGAGTTTCATACTGAATGTAATAACATAGTGAGTTGTCTAAAATTATGAAAAAAAATTTCAGCTCTTCTACACTATGGGAGGACAAGGATCTTGAAAAAAAAGTTTTTCATGAAATTGAATATCTGCAGTCTTTATTGGAGAGAGATTGAAATGCAAACTAAAAATATATAATGGAAGTTCATTAATGATTTTAATTCAGTCAACTGAGATTGACTGCTCGAAGCCACTTACTTCCTACATTGTGTTGAATCTTTCAGCAGAAAAATTCTACATATATTACTAAATCAAATTATTATTGAACTTCCATTATAGATTCTTTTATTCGTGTCCTGATTCTTGTCCATCTAAATGGTATATATTCAATTTCAAGAGCAAAAATGTTCGCTTTGAAAGCTTTTGTGATTTCTTCAAGGATCAGAAGGGGTTAAACTTATTTTCGTTCTTCCAGAGCCCATATTATGTTATAATATCCAGGATGAAGCCCTAATCTCATCTAGATGAAAAGTTTTATAAAATGAAGCACTATGAGAAGTCCTTTTTCCACAATGCTGTTCACCATTACGACCAATATTTAAGCCATTTTGCGCATGGTACTAACTCTTTTAGAACTTGATTTGTATATATTAAGATTCATATTCAAAAGTTTTATAAGATGAGATTTAACAAATAGAACTGGAAAAAAGGAGAAAACTTATATCTTTTCCTGATTGATCTTTAATTTTTAACAATCAAGATCCCAGAGATACAAGCATTAATAGTAAATATATTTTATACTTTGTTGACTTCTGTATAATATCTTAAGATCTGTCAAATGAAACTTGAATGGACTGAACAGCATTAGTCATCTGAAAGAAATCGTCAAAAATGACTCGCAAGAAAAGTTATGTAAAGACTTATTGGATGTAAAATAATTATTATAGGATAAAATTTTTGAGTAGGATTTCAAATCGAAAAGAAATTTAGCTCTAGCCAATGGTCAAAAATGCTCGGCTTTTTGCAGAACCTCAGTTAACCCTTTCCGGCCGGCTGCCAGAAGACAGCAAGCAAAAAATTCGCCGTCTATATATTCTTTGTCTTTTAGGTGTGGAGGTTACCGAATTCCATCTTGGAGTTTAAAGAACTAACATTCAGCCGAATGGCAACATGCTTGCACTCTATTCTTCGGGTATACTGAATAATTCATCTTATTAGTATAATAGATAATGGATCTGGAGAGGAAAATTAACCACTAGTTACTTCTCGGATCGAATGCTTGGAGAATTGAAAAACAGATCATTTCCACTCGAAGATGGTTGTGGGTCTTGGCGAGAGAGTTCATGCCTCTCGTCAATAATAGCTTTCTCCTTTCTTGAGAAGGCATAGGTTTGCCCTAAAATGCGTGTAATTAATTATCAAATCACTGAAAGAACTATATGTCAGCACTTTAAGATAAATCCTAAGGTGATATTGGTAAAATGTTGCCAAATGGCAACATCCGGCCGGAAAGGGTTAAAAGTCTCTACATAAATAGATCAGTTATCTCGTTTAGTCATCATAGTTATATAACATTCATTTTAAATCTTTTGCACTCGAACCGTTTCGACCTCTGATTAAAACTAAAGGGTTATTCTTGCAGAATAAATCTGATCACTTGAAGATTTCTCACTTCTTGTATCTTTTAACAGTGTAATAAGACTCAAATTCAAATGTTCATCTCATATTTTTACTCACCTTAAACTGTAAAGATAAGCTTTAACTCTGTAAGTCAGGAAGCTCTTTTCTTACATAAAAATAAACGATAAAAACTCATTCTACTGAAATCTTATGAGATGTTGCGCATATGAAATCAATTCTCGGTGCATAACAAATATTTTCGTTAGTCGATCATTCAAATAATGCGATGCGAATAGTTTCGATATTTTTGAATTACAACATAAAATTTTTTACAAATCGAAAATTTCTAGTCTGAACTTTTTTGTTTTTCAATTTCTTCAAATACTTTCAAAAGTTCCTCATTAAAATTTTTCTGTGTTAAATCAATAGGATCTTTTCCATCAATAAGATGTTTTAACCATCCTTGTATTTTAAATTTAGCTTCTACAATAACTGGAATAATTGAACTTGAATGTTTATTTGCATATTCAATTTCAGCCATGCAAATTTTTGACAGACGATATTTTGATGATAAACAAATTAAAATTGGTTTCTTTTGTGCTATTGCTTTTTTCATTAATTCCAATCGATGTTTTCCCTGTTTTTCATTATATACTCGATAACCTTTTGATGATAAACGATCAAAAATTTTTTTAGCTACAATCATATCATCAATTATATTACTAACACTAATTAATAAATCATAAGGTATTGTTTCATCCCATTCATCATTTGATATGAACTGATCATCATCCATTGTAGTTGTTTTATGTTTTTCTTTTTCTGTTTGCTCATAACGTATTGTTTCTTCACTTCCTAATCGCCAGATAATTGCACTAGCATTTTGCTTGGATTTTTTTGACGTTCCATTTAATAATATAAGAATTTGATCAATGAATAAATTGTTTGATTTTAATTTTTTACTTGTTGTTGGTCCATAAAATGAAAGTTTCCAAATAATAGATACAGCTAATTGTTGAATTCTTTTTAGTAATTCTTTTTTTTGATCATCTGAATGTTTCTCTTCAGAACCAATCAAACAGCAACATTTTATTATAACTGAAATACCTTGTTTTTCATCAGCAAAACTTTCCGTAAATGTATCATTTAAGACAAAAACTAAAAGATTAAAAAGTTTTTGAATTTCTTAAAACAAAATATTCATTCTTAGTCTCGATTTACTTTCAAGATGCCTCAATAAACGATATAATTTCAAACCTTGATATGCTAGTCGAGGTTCTTTAATACATTTATCAATATACTCAACACAGGTCTTTGCTAATACTGGTGGATCATATATATCATTGTAAATATCTGAATTGAACATAATTAATATAAAATGCGATATAAAATGTATTAGTTTATCGTGCATACAACGCAATTTTAAACAGATATTTAAAATATTTTTCGTCATCAATTGTGAACGTAGTCTGTTATCGAATCCGAGATTATAAAATAATATTAAGGATTGACCGATAACTCCAGCCCGAGCTTCAGCAGTACGTCGATTTTCATCAATTAATGATTGATCTTTTAATATTGAGAATAATTGATCAACGATTGGTAATGATAAAAATTCCTTTTGTATAGCTCGTATCATTGCAAAATGATTTAACATTCTTATATGATAACTTAACGCTACCATTCGCGCAATTTTTGTATCATTAACAGCTACTCCACCTGATATAAGATTAAAAATAAAATTCTATTTTACAAAATGTATTAATATACAGCATTGAAAAACATTATAATAACAAAAAAAAAACAAATTAAAACTTATTCGTTTGTTTTCTGATTCTCTTTTTTTTGCTTGATTTGATCTATCAATTAATACAGATGTATTCTAATCGAATATTAACGCAGATCTTATTTAAACATATTTACTTTGATGAGAAGAAGAAGATACAGAAGCTTTATTATCTAGTCAAAATGATACGAATAAATGAATGTTTACAGAATGATGGGTGATAAAAACGAAAATTTGAGCACAGGAACGATAATGACACAACTGTTGAATACGAATAAAAATTGCGCGATAAATGGATGATATGTAAAAGAGTTTTTTAACTTTGTATGGACATTTTTTTTCTCATCATACATAGAAACTTCGAATTGAAAAGGGCATACCTAGAGAGGTGTGTATATGGATTGTGCTTACAGATAACGCAACATCACGATTAACAACCATCGGTTCCAAGAGTTTCATAATCTTAATAGGGAAGATCGATAAATACGTGTGAACGTCTAGCAGGCGTGGGTCTAGGTGTGGAGTGTGAGTAACCGTTATAGTCTACACTCACACCCCACCCTTGGCGTGCCTGCTCTGAACACTTCAAGGCTACTAAATAAAAAGTGCTGAAATTAATCTTGCAAAAAATTTATCAAAAAGAGGCGAATGTGGTAGCGTATAGAGTAGAACTTTCGAGCTACTCCTTTTTTCACAGACAACCGATCAGTTCATTATCATCCGAGACGTAATTTCATCTTATTGGGTTTTTTAAGAACTCAATAAATGGGACATGAACATCGAAGAATCTATAATGCGGTTCAAACTTAAAGAAAATAACGAAACGGCAAGCTAATCTTTAGTTATGTGATTATCTTACCATTGTCTTCCATTAGAATGAATAAATGTTGGTTGAAGATTGTTTCAGTATATTTTAATATTGTTTTGCCCAATGAATTAGCTATATCTTTTCGTCGATTATAATCATTTCGAAAGAGAAATTCTGGACATTCATGCATGAAAAATAGGTGTTTTGCTGCAAGGCCACTATTGCTTGTCGTAACTGTAGATGCCGCTTTCGTTTGAACAAGTTCAATGTTTTCGAAAACTTTAAGATAAAAGTTCGAATTTAAACATTTTAATATTGGATCTATTAATAATTCAACTTCTTTGAGTTCCTGTTTTGAAGCAACACGAACACGTCGTCCAACATCTTTATATTTCAATGCATTTGATGGATATTCCTTAGTAGATAAATCTTCGATATCTCGACATAAATGTGTCAAATAAGTTTCGTCAATAAATTTAAATTTTACATTATCATTGAGTTCTACCGGAAAACAAATTATATTGTTTTGTCATGTGAGAAAAACCAAAGAAATTTTACCTATGTTAGCTTTCAAAAGACCGAATTTAATTTTACGCTTAGGTTCAATAAAATTCTCTTCGATGTACTTAGTATAATCTTGTTTTAATTTCATCGGTTTGTTTTCTTCATGAATTTGATCACTACTTAGAATTTTTGATAAAGTTTTATATGCAAATCGTAATGTAATGTCCTTTGCAGATTCTAATTTAGTAAACACCTGTTGAAAATCTTTTCGTTTTAATATTGAAAATATGTGCTTTTCGTATGCTAAATTGTACAAAAGCATTAAAGTATATGCAATAGTAGCAACATCAGCATGAAAAAGTTCTTCGTTTTGACATGCATTATCAATTAAAATATCGTGTTCTAAGACATTTATTATTTTATCGATGATATTATTTTTAATAAAATATCGTCTACCAGATGATGTTAATGACAAATAATTTAGTAATTCCAAATGGCAACGAAAAGCGTAAAGTGCTATTCCTCGATCATCGTAATACTTTGGATCAAGTTCATTATCTATTAATAAAAAAACACATATATAAAATTGAGATTAGATGAGGGTCTGATTACTAAAGAGCGAAAGGTAACCAGCAATTGCTAAGGATGCTCCGAAAATGTTCCAGTTTTCATGGCAATGTTTAAGTTTAACAAGAAAAAGTTTTTGAATTTTTATTCGATTTTCCGAAAATTTTTTAAAATTTTATACTACCTCTGTGAAACATTTTCTTATACATCCGCTTTACACCCCTTCAATATTGGGACCCTCGCACGGAGCCTGATTTTATTATTGTTTAGGTGATCTGTCAAATAACTATTTTTACAGCACCATTTAATAAAAATTAAAACTCAAAAACTAAGTAAATATAGCAGATGTGGTTGGCACTGTGGTGGTTTCAACACGTTTCCATTCATGAAGAACATCGATGCTGATGCATACATGATAATTTTGTAAAAATTAAAACATTCTCATCGATTGTGATGCAAAAACGTATTCAGCTAATGAATGGCGGTTAATTGAACGGTTAAGCGCCCGATTAATCGGATGGTTAACCGTCGGCCTTTGATCAAATTTGACCGACATGGGACTCGTTTAAATCGCATTTTTTTTTCTATTTGTGTTTGATCTGGCCCACTTTCGGATATACAACTAACTGAAAAAGTATGAAACTTTTCTCAATTATAAAGATTTCAATTATGTACATGATATTTCATCAATTTGAAAGATAAAATAATATTACCACTGATTGGTAAAATTGTTTTGATAATTGATTTTGTAGCATCAATCATAGTTTCACATAATAGATGAGGTATTTGTTCTTTCTCTTGAAAATCATGTTGAATTATAAATTGTGAACATCGATAAATAAAAAATAATTGTTTTGGACTTAGACGAAATTGTTCAGATTCTATAGTTGTGAAAATTTCTCGATAAAATTTTGAACGTAAACATGCTACAATAGGATTAAATAATCGATCAACAATATTTAATTTTGAACAAACTCGAATTAGTCGATCAATAATTTTATATTTAATATGATATAAAGAATATTCATTTTGAGATACATTATCAATAGCACGAATGAGTTTATTTAGAAATAATTCATTTAAAAATACATCTTGATATTTTTTTGATGGTAAAATCTGTAATAGAATAGATATATCAGATTTAATTACTCGTTCAACTGTTGGTTCAATTTCTCTTTCGATTGTTGGTTCAATAAATTGAATAGGAAGTTTTTTTCGATGACTTATTAATGCCATATCAAATTGTATTTTTTCAATTGATCGTGATTTCGGTACACTCGAAGGTAGACAAGTAACTTTCAAATTTGGTTTATCTGCAATAGGTTTCGATCTTCTACTATTTTCATCGATAGTTTTATCTCTTATATTTATTTTATCTGTTACAGATGTGATTTCATCTGATATAGATCCATAAAAACATGTTATAGGTTCATTTCGAAATAAACATAATTGTGCTATTAAATAACTTATTGAATAGAAACAATCTTCTTCACACTTTCTCATTGGTATCGATTTTACATAATTGGATTTGATTAATAATGTTTCTAATGTTCGTCCAATATAAATAAATATTGAATGATTAATTAGAACTGGATGATCAAATAATCGAAGAGTATTTATCGATGCTAGATCATCACAAATAATTGTTAAAATGTTTAAACCATGATCTGTTTCATTTGTATAAGTAATATCTTTTATATAGGAAACAACATTGTCAAAAAATAATTTAATTTCTGCTACTGTTACAGGTGACATTTTTCGACGAAGACGACGAATAAGCGATGAATGTTGTATTAATAAGGAATCCATTAGATTATTTTTATCTAAAAGACAAAAAAAAACTTAAGATGATTTCTCACATAATTCTTTAAATTCAAGAATATTTTTTAGTTTTTGTTGAATAAATTTTTCTGCATTTCGTGTATTTTTCCAAATGCGATTTGGATTATCAAGTTCTTCTAGTTTTCTTATTTCTTCTGGTGTTTTCCATTCATCGTCAATTTCATCTTCATCAGGATTAGTATGTTCTTGAAGAAGAGAAACAATATCCCAAGCTGTATCATTATCTTCCATGGTTGTTTGCATATGATTTATTGGTCTTGTACTTCGAATTAATCTATAAAAGTAATTCGATGACTCCTCATTGTTAAAACATGAACCTGGATTAGAATTAAATGGTGAGAAATATGCTTCAGACACTGAATGATTAAATGACATAGAATCATGTTCGAACGATGCGTCGTTTGATAATTGATCGGTGACAAAACCAGCATCATTAGTGTTGCTATGTTCTTCATTAGTTTGAGGGATTTTTGGTAAAATTGCTGTTTCCGAATAGATTTTACCTGTAATACCAGGCTTTGTATGACGCAACTAAAACAATAATTATTCTAGGCGATTATTTTTTTCATAATGATATAAAGTCGTAGAGAACTTCTACTGATACTTATCTGTTCAATTTACCAATGGTATGTATTCTATCATTCGGACAGAATTAATGCTACAAGATTTTGGAATTGAAAACTTAGTTTTTTTTAATTATGTTAGAAATTCTGTGCTCTAGCTAATTAGCAATCAATTTTATTGTTAATAGTTTTTGTTAAGTAGTTTGTCGTCTTTTTCTTATAATTTCATCCAATTGTAAGAGATGACTTGAGTGAAATAAACTTTAAAGCATTCTTGGTCAAATTTAGATTCGAGAAAGAAATATACTTCATTAACCGTAGAACTTTCACATTAGATTTTGTGGCGGTGAAAATCTTGATTAGATGATGCCACATACAAAGTTTCACAGAAATATGACAGGAAGAGAAAAGCTCTCAGAAATTCCCTTTAATGGTAATCGAACACTTTTGATGAGCGTCATTTTAGGATTTACATACATTTAAGATTCGCTATTAATAAATCTATTATAAGCTTAAAAAGGTTTTTTAAACATATGTTTAATTAAACCATAAAATGCCTACTTGAGCTCACTACTTATGATTGTCTCTAATGTACTTTGGATGTTAAAAAGTCGATAGGATGTATAGCGGAAGAGTCTTGTAGCAAAAGTGAAAAACATTCAACCATTTGCTCATATCTAGACCTTTCCCATTCGTTAAACTAGAACTTTTATTTTACACATTAAGTATGCCTTCAAATACGATATAAAATGACTATTCACTTGCTGTAGTTAATCAAACGACTGCAGAGGTTTTTAATTGCGAAAGTTCTGAGAATTTCTTTCTCTGCTTATTAGATAGTTTGATATGCAAAGTTGATGAACTGTTGTATGTATCAGGATCTAACCAAAAGATCTTCAGAAAACTGCTATTCTTTTCGAATCTAAAGGTGAACACGAAAACCACGGCACTCAGGTCACTGCATATATCAGTGTATTTCGCTCGCGTTATACTGTTGGATCATTAACATTAAAAAGCTTCTCAACGGAATTTGACAAATTTTTCAAACTTGTTACTGGTTAGGTGATCTATCACATATCATACGAAGTCTGAGGACTGCTATCCCCTGTAAGATTTTATGAAATACGATTTAAAAGGAATGTTGGTGTGCTTTGAGTAAAAATGTGCATCTTGTTTCCACTTAAACAGTGACACATGGGCTTCAGAAGCATTAGAAACTATGACAAAAATTTTTCGATATAGGATATAAGACTGTATTAATGTGATGTCATTAGAACATGTGAACTACTATTTTGATTAGTTAGTGAATATTAGACAATGAATTTTGAAATAGTGAATGCAATATAGATTCAGTCAAACAGCTTTAAAGGACTAGAAACATCAACTACATCGTGTTTCATGTTTTCAATAGTACACAAGAATTGCAGTAAAAGCTTTTCTTTAACGAGAAAATTGAAAAATCAGTAATTTTGTTTCTTCTTGTTGGCAAAGAGTCACTTTTATTTGCCGTAACTTTGAGTAAACGAAGTTAATTTCTAGAGATACTATGCAGCCAAAGCCTTACCCTTTCTAATTGTATAAGTTGATTACAACTCTAGTTTCAATATCTGCACCAAAGTATCATTAAAACTACCTTAGACACATTAACCATCCAATTTATGTCCCGGATAAAACGAAATGCAGCCACTACAGTCAATTAAGAACTAAACGACAAACTAATCTTTGCCACTTAACAAGTTAGAAAATTAAAAATATTTTGATATGAAGTATTTTCTGTTAGAGAATTGCAGATCGAACAAAAATCGTAAAAAAAGAATTACAAGTAACGATAGTTCAACTAAATGTCCCGATAGATCTTTGATTTCTCAAAGGCCAAAATCGATCAGTCCATGATTCTTTCGTTCTTCATAGCTGAATACACCAAGGGGGAAAAAGCGGATCCTGGATCCTCGGATCCTGGTGGATCCTGTGGATCCTGGTGGATCCTGGTGGATCCTACAGGATCCTGGTGGATCCTACAGGATCCTGGTGGATCCTACAGGATCCTGGTGGATCCTGGTGGATCCTACTGGATCCTGGTGGATCCTAGTGGATCCTATTGGATCCTGGTGGATCCTGATGGATCCTAATGGATCCTAGTGGATCCTGACGGAACCTGATGAATTGTAGAATAAATTATTTCAAGCGTACAGAAACAAGGATGGAAAAGTTGATCTGAATGGATATGAGAATTCTTTAAGGTCCAAAAAAATTAAGTGAGAAAAGGGAATAGTGACTTCAGAATTTGTAACTAAGTAAAGAGAAAAAAAAATCCAGGATACCGAGATGATTATGTCTTGGTAAATTTTGGCATATCATCATGGATTCTGCGTATTTTTTGGATCCATCAAGATTTACGCTTCCTCGATCGGTTTGATATTATTGTAATACATGATGATTTCTATTGCATTCTAGTTATCTGTGATAAATTGTAATGGATTGTGTTGAATTATAGCCAATGGCGGTAATCTGTGACTGCTTTTGGTACATTTCTAGAAATATATTCTAAAATCTCTTAGGACTCTAGAATCCGCTTTTCTCCGTCAAACTAAGGATGTCAGAACTTAGAGCAACCCTCTACTTTAGTCTTAATCCTGTTTTTCCTTGAGAAAGTGTGAAAGAACATTTTGGGCTCCTGAATCTGAAGATTCATGTCATATTTTATTCAGGATTCCGTTTCCAATTTTAATAATACTGGTTTGCAGGATATTTCATTGTGAAAAAAATATTCTTTTCAGGATCTTTTCAAGTTCCCACTCAGATCTCTTTATTATTTTAACATGATGGACCGTACTAGGATTCACTCTTGATCTTACTCAAAACCTTGATAGGGATTACAGAAAGAATATCGCTTAGATTCTATTATAGTTTTAACAGAATTCGTTTGGGATCTCTGCGTCATGGTCCTCTCCTGGCTTACAGTTAAATAAGGCAAAGATCCTACAAGGAATTAATAGAAAAGCAGTGAAAATCCTCAGGTAGTGGATTCTTCTAAGATTCAATCACGATTCTATCTAATTTTCTTAAGCATTCTTCTTACGAATATCTTTTCTGAACATTTCCAGGGTTGTCTTAGGGTCTCTTCAAGGACAAGCATTTCAGATCCTTCCTAGAGAAGGTCAAGGATGGCCAGGATCTTTCTGAAAGCATATCAAGGTTAGGCGAAGATCTTTACCATTTTCATGTAGAGTCTACTAAAGCTTGATCTTGAGGATTGTAACAAGATCTATGACTGATCTGGTTCAGGATTTTGAATAAAATTATGAAATGTTTCCACCAAAATCCTTAACAGTTCCTATTTAAGATTCTTCGAATATTTTTAAATCTTTGAATCTCAAAAACTCAAATTGTGCTTGTTAAATAAAATTTTAACAGTAACTATACTAAAATGACAATGAAGGATTTGCAATGTGTTTTGTTCCGGTTCTGACAGGAATGTAGAAGATCAAGAAGGTACCTGAATTTCATTCTAATATTCCTTTGTTTCTATGTGTCAGTGAATGGAAGAATTCTGACAGAATTTTTGAAGATTTCTCGTCAAAGATTTTTAATATTTATCTTCAATATTGCATGACATTTACAGCATGGAACTCAGTTCTTTTTTGAATTTTATTTTCATATAAAACTTGCAAACTCATTAAAATGGAGATTTTAATATCAGTTTAACTGTTGCACTAACTTTTTCTTAAAAAAGCTTTTAGTAAAGGACGAGTACTTCAATAAAACTTGTACTGGATTTTATTTATTCGTGCTAATCAGAAAAATACCTTTTTATTCAAATTGAAATCAACCAGTCACAGTAGAATTTTATGATAAGTAATCAATAGATTAAGTTTATATTGAATTTTTGTTCAAATAACTTATGTTTGCATAAAGTTCAAATACAAGTTAATAGTTCAGAGGAAATTCGAGATACAGAAGGTTTGAGTTAAATTAAATAGCATGATACAGTCTACTGCGGTGAACTAATCAGTTTTTTAACTGAACATATAGAAATCAATAATGTGCGTTCATTTCTCTTTTCTGCTTAGAGAATCCTGCAAAAATTTTGACAATACATCGGATATCATCCTTACGGAATCGAAGTGGAGTTCTGCGAGGTGCAATCAGAAAATATTTTCCCATTAGAAGCCATTGAAATTCTGAGAAGAGCTTGACATAAAGTCAATACAAAATGACTCAGAATTTCTCTAAGATTTTGTTCTAATCATAACAGAATCGTGTTTATTTCGTGCCTACACGTTTTTCTGAAGATTTGACCCTCTATTAACATATTTCTTGTTTTAATTGCATTGGTAAACTGCTCAGGATACTGATAGAATCCTGTTATGAACTTTGTCGAGGTCTTGAAATTCCGTGGCTACACGGCTTTCTCAAGATTTAGCAGCTTCTTCGACGATATATGATTGGGAAATAGCAATAAACTGTTACGATCTTGATTGAATCTCAATTAAAATTCTGTCAGCATCTTAAAATTTTATGGGTACACACTTTTTTCGGTTTTTCGCATTTTTCCCGGAAAAAATGGTGAACCTGTGCAAGGCCGTTGCTGCCTATGTCAGAAATCTAGCTCAAAAAGACTTGAGCTTTTCTCTAGCAAAAATTTAACACTATCTAGTACAATCTTTTGAAATCCAGAAGAATTCAGCAGAAATTAACAAGCATCATACTAATCTGAAACCAATCAGAAACACCTAAATCTTGATGGATCTTATTCTATCGTATAAACCGCAGAACTCATTCAGATACTCAAAAGTTCATAGGGGCCCACCAGGCTCTCAATCTCCGAGATTTCTTTTTCCTTTGTTTTCAAAAATTCTAGGGCCAATTCTTCGTCTGTTTACTTTGTTTCCATGTATTCTAATGGCTTCGGATGGAGTCCAATAGATCGTGGGATGTCTCAAGGTCCGTTTTTCCTTTGTAAAGTAGACTAGTCATAGTTGTATAAATAGCACATGGTGCTCCCATTGATTCATCCAGAACATATTTTGAATTATGCAACCTTATTTTATGAATCTGGTTGATTTCCTTGCTTTTGTGGCTATTCAGAACATTAATCTATCTTCATAAATGATAATGAGTCCTAATGGATCCTAATGGATCCTAATGGATCCTGATGGATCCTAATGGATCCTAATGGATCCTGATGGATCCTAATGGATCCTAGTGGATCCTGGTGGATTCTGATGGATCCTGATGGATCCTAGTGGATCCTGGTGGATCCTATGGATCCTGGCGGATCCTAATGGATCCCAGGATCCACCAGGATCCGCTTTTTCCCCCTTGGAATACACGATAGATCGTTAATAGAAGTGTTAATTAATTTTCAATTGAGGAACGTTCAAGAGAAAAATGTTCCGATACAAAAAAAAATAATGATCCCTCTTAAGCAAAGATAACTTCATTTCATCTTATTTTAGTTTACAATATAAATGCGTGTATAGTATACTTGTAAATTAAACTGTAATAAAATATCCTCATGTCATATCTACATTCATTTTCAACATTACAATCGGACGTAACTCATTCACGTGTGTAAAAAATATCAATGAAAAGAAAGTAAATCACTTAATGACGTTTTCTCTTACAGATATACTTTTTCATTCTAATTACTAGTTAACCCTTCGAGAATCGAATTGTTTAATCGGGAAAAACATTTTTCAACTTTTTTATTTTATTTTGACTCAAAATGGCGGCATAAATATGTTATACTAATAAAAAAAACAATTTTTTAATTTTCTATACCGAATGGCACTTTGTAAGCAAAGCAATCGATGTTGGATCGAAAATTTGCTTTCTTCGTGCTACAAAAAACTCATCTTCTTTTTCTCTTTACTACCAATTACATGCCGTTATCAATATTAAGGATTGTTTTCGGTAATACTAGGTTAGACTTATTTTGAGAAGAAGGTCTTTCATAATCTATTTGTTCACTGCTCAAGCGGGAAAACTTCACTGCTGAAATCACATAGATTAGGCCAATCAGAGCGACAGTGTGTGTAAATATATACTCAATAGTGAATGAAAATATTCTCGAAAAAAAAAGGATCAGAGGAGAAGAGAGAAATTGTAATGTCGATGTACCCTAGCAGCAAGAACAAAGTATATTTGAAAAGAATTTATATGAGAGAAGGCAAGAAAGAAAAGTATGAGATGGAAAATGCAGTTGTTTATGATCTTAATGACCTCACATATTTAATAGTTTAATGTGAAATAAACACTTTTTTCTTTATTGGAAAACAGGTGGTCCAAAAATGAGCCACCGGCTCTCAAAAGTTTAATTGAATTCTTGTTTATTTTGAAGGGCAGTCAGAGAAGAAGATTTTTTCAAGTAATATTTTGATCTCATAAAATGACTGAAATCTGCCTCGTTGAGATAAAAGAATGTTAAAACAAAATAAGAAAACTTTTCCCATAAAATATTACTCTGTCGAATTGAATACTTTTTAAACAATCATTCTTACCAATTTAGAGAATAATTTATCATATTCAAAATCGAAATCATCTTTAAATTCCATATCAATTTCACTATTAAAAGCCTCATAGAATAATTCTGCAATTGTCAGTGAAGAAAGCCATGAACTTTCTTCTAAAGTATTTCTCATAATAAATGGAATTAATATTTTTCCTTTTGATTTAGCATAATTCAATTCATCAGTAGAATATTTATTTTTTGAATAATTTTCACTAAATGAAATTAACATAACATCACTTTTGTCTATATCGGATTGAAATTTTGTCGTATTTAATGATGTTTCACATAAAGAATAACCTTCATTAATTAAATATGTTGCTATACGATTACAAATAGTTTGATCGTATTGACAATAAGAAAAATAAATATTATAACCTTTAAGATTAATTTGGTTTGCATGTTTAATTTTTGTAAGTAAAGTTCTTGAAGTATTTGCTGCTTGAGTTTGTAATGATAATTTTTCTTTGAAAATTTCTGACATTAATTTACATTTTTCCATTACTTTTTTGACATTTAACATAGAACCAATGAGATATATTTGTGAATTCGTCATTAGATCTATCATTGGTAATACTGATTTGTTTAAACAATATTTATAAAAAACATTTATCATATGTTGATCCCATCGTCTTATATCGAGTTCATCAGTTAAAGTTCTTTTTATCACAAAATGTTTTTCAACATAGTTATTTATTTCATGTTCACATTTAATAAGATCCAAATTTGATGATATCAATACTGATATTTGAACAGCTAATAAAGAAACGCTCTTAGTTCGATTGATGTACAATGAAAGTTAGAAATAACATTTATTCATCTCAGGTAAATGCTCTTATTTTATCTAATTCGAAACTCTGTTGTTCACTACTACCTTGGAAGAAAATGCTATCAGATGGAATTTAAACAGGTTCTTGTTTTTAACATAATCAAAATTCTCTGAGATTTTACACTGACTTTTATAATGATTCGTTCAAATTGGGTTTCATTATACTATTTTCCTACTGTATTCAAAATATAACCAGATGAAATGTATACATTTTCGTTTAAACACACAATTCATTTTGATGCATAATTATGCCCATTCTTTAAAATGTAGCCACTATTTCACTCATTTATTGCTAAATATCCAGCCGTATCACTATCACTGACAAAAGAATAAGATACCATGGGGAAACATGTTTTCTATAAATCTAAATTCTAAAAAAGATTTTGTAAAATCGGTAGATGATCTCAAAATGACTGTGAGGATTCGGAGAAGCATTGTCCACTGTTTTGTGTGTGTGCCTACCGGACGATAAACAGGTTCGATTGTACTTTCAAAATCGAAACCTTCCTAGATTTCTTAAATATTTAAAAAATTATTTTACGTTTCAATAAAAATCACGACATTATTTAATACTTCTATGCGGTACCGATTTTTTTCAGTGTATTATAGTTTAGTGAATTCTTAATAAAATTAATAGGCTGTTATATGATATGGAAGCGTTCATTGACTTAAAGTTTTGCTAGTATGTAAAGAATATCTATGACAACTGAGGAGTGGCAGGGTACATGAATTTCGATTTTCCCACTATCAGACATAGTTTTAGATGATGTTTCAACGACAAAGAGAATACTGAATCATTTCTCATGTATGTCGAACATACTCGATACTGTAGAACAAAATTGTGCAAAACCATCTTGATCAGTTTGATATTGGACTAAGACTTGATGAAATTCTTTATACAAATCAATATTTTCCTTGTTGAAAATAAACAGAATGCTCCAATTGATTTTCCTAGCTTCAATTTCTTGTTTAATTTCATTGATTAGATTATGAGCTAATGATTGTTGTTGGGATTGACTACCAACATGTTTCCATTGGTTTGCTAGAAAAGCTATTTTTCGTGCACTCGTACAACATGTTGTAATATTCTGTAAAGTAGAAGAGATAAATGTTTGAATTGATGATTTCAGTTTCTTGTTTGTTTTATCACCGTCTGCTATAGTTGGAGACCATCGATGAAATAGAAATTTTTTACCTGTTTTTTTCATTTCAAAATATCCATATTCATTCTTATATTCAATACTCTCTTCAATAGCATCTTGTGGAGATGAAATAATTGTTACATCTCTCTACAATTCAAAGAGAAAAAATCAATAAAGAACAAATAAGATAAAGGTATGAGGGAACGGAGTACTCATGCTCATACGTGCATGCAGAGTTCATTGCCTGGGTACAAAGAAAAAAAATGGATAAAATACTGTTCAGCTGTATTCGATAAACGTAGACTCTTTATATCTCCATACCAGAAATGTGCGACGCGAAATTTCGCGATTTTCCTGCGTACTGATGCAGCTATTTTCTCAAAATGCAATCGGATTTACAATGATATCTTTAAATATTTTGAGATATATTGTTCAACTTTTGTTATTAGCTATGAATTTTGTGTAATGGAACGAATGCTTTAGAATATATACACAAGTGAATGCATATTTTGTTTAACGTACCATTAGTTACATTTGTATAATAGTATTGTTAATATACTCGTATTACATTAAAGTTTTTTCATGTAAACGTATTTTATAGATATTCCTCGCTAATTACTATGGCTATATTTCAATCTCTCACTTCTTTTTCGTTTACGACTTTGTCATTTACTTAATTATATGCTCACTACGGATTGTTAAAAAATGTTCATAATATGAAGTTCAAGAATGTTATTTGTACGTTCGAACGCGTACGGTAGAAGTTAAAGCAACAGAAAAGAAGAAATCAAAATCTTGTATTTCTCAAGAAGATTTGCCAATAACTGCAAAATCATGATTACTAAAAGTACTCATCTTACAGGCGAGGAGATGCGACTGGATAATGCTTCGTAGGATAGACGGTGACAGAGCACTCTTTAAGCTGCCCCATACATCTTTATTCCATACAAAGAAATATCACTTAGGATATAATGGATCCGATTTATGTCCAGTAGAATGATGTCACATGAGTATCTAATCATACATCTAATTCAGGAAAAAAAGAATCACCCGATTTTCATACAATAGACAATATCGAAATCCACTTAACAATAATCGAACAGTATTTTGCAAGAGAATATAGATTAAAAAGAGAACAATTGGCGAATATCTCCATTTCAACTCTGAAGTGTCAAAAGTATAAGCGTTACATGTTTCAAAAATGGATATTTCGATGGACAAACTCGTTTACAAGAGCAAGATATCAAATATGACATGAAACTCATTCATATTCTCTCACTAATTTTCGTTACAAAAGGAAAATAGTTTCTGTAACCTGTTAGCGGACACAACATCTTGGTTTGCTGTAGAATATAGAGATGGTAGTTTGACTCTTGAAAACTGTCTATGTTCTAAGGATGTGGGTATGGGTGTGGGGTGTGAATGTGAGTAAAGGGAGGATTAGAACTCACACCCACACCCATACCACATCCTATTCGTAATCATTGTTCATGATATGTCATTTGTAGTTTGTGATCGATTATTTGAATAAAACTATGTCAGCGATATTTCCTACGGCTTCAAATACCAAGTACGATTTACAATAAGTTTGATTAAAAAGCATTTCAGAAAAGATTTTACGAAAAAGCTTGATTATTTTGATTTTGGAAAAGATATATAAATCGGGCAATGATAAATTATTAGCACTACATAAGTTCTATTATTGGTAAAAAAAATCATATTATTCTGATATATTATAGAAATTAAATGATAAAAAAAAGTTGGACCCTCCGGTCAGACTGGTCACTTCCATATATATCAAGACATAACAGGGAAAAAACGCCATTGGCAGCGTAGCATATCCTATTGAACGAATAAAAGACTATTCAAACTCCTCTATTCAGAAAAGGTGTCGTATGTGGATTTACATACGACATGTTTTTTTAATAGGCTTATTCGTTCAATATGGATATGCTGCCCTACGAATAATCCTTTTTCGTGTTCTGTCTTTATATTATATAGATATTGTTCTCATTCTACACTTGTACCATACATATAGCGGTGTAGGACGATGATTCAATAATGTTGGCGAGATAAGAGAAAGAAAGAGAAGTCTTTTAGATCGAATCTAAATGAGATTATAACGACAGTTATATGAGCAGAAGTTCAGCCCGTATATATTCGGGGCCCCGGCACCAAACAGTTAATGAATGTCGATTTTTCAACATCGATTTTTGCGTGCAGGCGAGAGATACAAGTATTTTAAGACATTGTGTGGATTTACTGTATTGTCCTTACTTCCTAGAGACTTCGAAAACAGAGAATAGTACTCATGAGTTCTTTATCAACAGCATGAGATATCTTGAGAAGTGAATAGTATGTTGAATGAACATTCGTTTTGATGTATTTCAAATTTATCAACTCAAAATATGCTTTTAATAAAGGTAATGCAACGTTCATCATTTTCAATGAATATGAAAGATGTTAATTGGTGAAGTCAATCAGTTTCATCAATTTAATTTGAGATACCTTAAAAGACGCACTCGTTTCATCGTCTAACATAACATCAATTTATTTATTTTTTTTACCTATATAATTGAGATTTAAATAAAATTAAAAAACATTTTTGATAGTTTTTCTCTCCTAGGCGTACCTATATATATCTGAGAAGTAAAGTTTTAAACAAAAATAGTAATCGATATCGGACGATCCATTTCGATTTCTGATTGTTGTACTGATCTAAATATATCATTTCGAAAGGAAAAACTACAATAGATCGATGAAAAGCGATGTTTTTCAAGATTGAGTCTAAGATACTAAGATTGGTTTCATACCCAATCTCATTTATATTTCGTTTGTCTTTTCAAGGCTCTTATGCACAAAATAGTGAGTGTACAAAAATACAAGTTATTTGCTTTACCGGTATAGAACGTGTTTGGTCTGTTAAATAAATTTCAATAGAACCATTTAGTACTGATATTTTTCTCATTGATAATGACGAAATAAATTCATTTGATTGTTGAATGATTGAACTCGATATATTCGTTAATTGTGATGATGCTTTCGGAATAGAATAAACTTTCATTTCCATTTTACTGTCGATTTTTTCTATTCGGCAATAGTTATATTCAGCAATGTGACGAATTTTCTTAATATCATCATCAGTCAATTGTACAGAATTTTCGATTTCCATGTATTGAAAAATAACTGGTTGAATCATAAGTTGTTTGATCTTTTCGTGAATCTTATCAATTAAATATTGAGGTGCACTAAATTCAGTTTTTCGTATTCGTATTTTAACACAATCATCTTTGTATTCGTCTTCTATGTCTTTAAGTTGTTCGATGCAATTTTCTAATAGATATTCTTGCTAGAATATACACGAAGAAATTGCTATTTGCTTTTAAATATTACATAAAGATATTTACTTGATGGAGAGGTATTCTTAATTGGACTATTCTCATTGTATTTTTGTTTATAATTGCTTGCAATCGTTTTTTAGCTTTATGAACTAAATTTTGTCGTCCGAATAAACTAATTTTGATATCTAATTTGTATGGATATGTACAACGAATAATAGCTAATTCTGGATGTTGTCTATGAAAAATGAATTGATCAATATTATTCAAAAACTGTTTCGTTTTTTCATTGGGCATGGTTAAGTTTTCAACATAGTCTATTTCATTATTTAATATTTCTGCAATCTTAGCTTCAGATACCATAAATGATTCATGAGTAAAGTAAAGAACTTTAAAATAACCAGAAAACATTGCTGTTTTTTCCCATATAGTGAAGATATTTTCATTATCCATTATTTTTTGTAGCACATGAATAATTAAATCTGATTTAATATTTTTTGACCAATAGATCACTAAAAATAAATATGAGAAATGGAAATACTGAAGTTTTCTGAAGTGAATAATTTACTTTGCTGATCAACATCTTTTTCATCATAAATTTTTACTCGAGTTGATTCAAACAATTTTGTAATCATTTCACGTGCTACTTTTATATTTTCTTTAATACCGCTTAATGTAAGAAAAATATCTTGAGTGTCTAATAATTGAATCTGACATTGAATATTATATTTATTTAACAAATATTCCTGTAAATATAAACGAAATAGAGTATTGTAAAAGAATTTTGCATTGCTTTTGATAGTTTCAATAGGAAGTGTAAAGCTTTTCGTGTGAGGTCCATTCTTGTCTTTGTTGCTCATTGGAGTTGATAATATAAAATATACAAAATTTACTTGTCTGAAAGTAAACAAAGTAAAACAAATACACATACGGATTGCTACTAGTGGCAGAACTAGTGTGGGCGAAGAGCCAAGATACATGTAAGAATTTAGTATGATAATGAAAGAAAAAAGCAAAACAAAAGTTATACACCCCAACATTTAAAACTCTGCAAAATCAAGCATGAAGCATGCACGTGACCGACACGAGTCTACTGCCGATACTACAAAATTACAAAGCAAAAAAGTAAAACGAATTTTGGTTTTTTTTTGATCAAAGAAATAGGGAAATCGATCAATGGAAACAGATCAGAGTTACCAGCTCAGCCTGATCCGACCTTAAACGTTTAGGCTTGACCTGGCACCAAGCCTGGTTCATACTGCAACCTGGACACTATAATGTGCAAAAAAGTATTTAAACCAATTTTTCAGTAAACACTTTGAAACGTAAAGTTGTTATGTGAATTAGTGTTATGGGCGAGGATTCTATTCATTTAAAATCATGCACGAATTGAATGAATAATATCACTTTTATTATTTACTTATTCCAGTAAGAAACCAATATTTTTGACTCTATAGAAAAAAATTTGGTTTTATTCCTTTATGCCCGTAAGACAATAAGTAATTAGTGAACAATAAAATGGAAACAAAGATTTACTGCTATGATTGTACATTAATTTAGCTTGCCAGGTCTTACGTTATCTAACATGCGACCCTCCTTGGATTCAGAACATCTAGATCATATGCACTTTGTATTCGTGCTCTATCGAAATTAGACATATAAATGTAAATTTTCTCCCTATTGATGTTAGTCTCGCCTAGCCCATGAGAAGTATGTGCACCTGTTCATTGTATTCTTATTTGTATCATTATCAAACAGTTTTTCTAAGCATAAGTAGTTTTCTTCCCATGTGGTGAAAATCGCTTAAAAATCGGCGATTTATCGCGATTTATCATGCCGATTAATTGTGCGATTATATCGCGATAAATCGCCTAAAGTAGCGATTTTTACCGATTTTGGTTTCCGATTTTCGTGAAAAATCGCGATTATTCAAATAGTATTTTCAATGATCGAATCTGCTCATAGAATTGTAACCTGGGACTATGACTACCCAGAAAAAAAATTTATGAAAATCTGCGTTGAAACCCGTTCTTATTTCAGTTCGCATAATTTCTCTAGACTCTTAAACGTGGTCGTGAAGCTGCGTATAGTAACACACTTTTGAGCAAAAAGCAGCATGCTACGATGTATCAAACTTCTAAAAAGTTATTGTCAAGTCTATCATGATCTTGAACTTTATTTTCACTATTTACATACATTTTCGTAAACCTGGTTCGTCTGTCAATGTATTTTCTGTCTTGCTAAAAGCATTTTATATAATTTTTTTAATTACCATAGAGTAGATTCGAACAGAAGCCCTTGTAGTTTCGAAGCCGAGAATATACCATTAGACCATTCTTACGTATTGCTTGAATCGTTGAATTTTATATTTCTATTAAACAAAATTTTTCGCTTCACCACGAAAATTTAATTATGAGCAAAATTAGGTATATAATTCTCCTATTATTTAAAAACAAAGATAAATA